TGATGGGTAAGTATTGCTGATGGTTCCCCTGTTCTACTGGCTGTACTCCAGCACACAAACACTGATGGGTAAGTATTGCTGATGGTTCCCCTGTTCTACTGGCTGTACTCCAGCACATAAACACTGATGGGTAAGTATTGCTGATGGTTTCCCTGTTCTACTGGCTGTACTCCAGCACACAAACACTGATGGGTAAGTATTGCTGATGGTTTCCCTGTTCTACTGGCTGTACTCCAGCACACAGACAATGATGGGTAAGTATTGCTGATGGTCACAGTTACTGAAATCTTTACCAAATCACAATATTAGTGCTCCAAGCAATAAGTCATGCAACATAGCTTGTTCAGAGAATCAGCCTTTTTCCTTTTCAAACTTCCAACACTCTATATGTGTAATCAGTCATTGCAGTGTGACTTACCCATTTTTTAAACTTCCAACACTCTATATGTGTAATCAGACATTGCAGTGTGACCTAGCTGAATTTATAGATTTAATGTCGCAAATAGTTGGACCAGATTTGTTAATTTACTTGACCTGTAAGTGTAACTTATTTCACAATATTACAGGGAGGTGTTCCAGAGGGCGTACATCCTACTGAATGTGGGGTGTAGTGGAGCAGGGTGTGAGATGTTCCCCAGAACGTACCGTGTGTCGTGGACTACCACATTACATGATCACTCAGACAGAGCTGTACTTGCGACTTTCTTTGATTACCAGGAAAATGTAAGCTCCAGACAAAAACACATATACATCTCTGTCACTCTGGGGAGTTTATAATGTAAGGGGGGGGGGCAACTTTGTACTATTTTCAGAAAACACATTTAGCACAGTTTTGTTTAAAAAAAATGAAAATATTTGAAAGAAAAGAATATCGGTTGAAAAAGTTTTAAGTTGGAAATTCCTAAGACTTAAACCTGTCTAAAAACCAAACATAGGTCTTTCTCCCTTTATAGTGTAAAATCTGCCCTTGAAACTAACTTTTTGATATTTCTATTTTTTGAGTGAACATGAAATATAAATTCCTTATCTTTGATAAAGTGAAAATTTCATAATTATATCACTGTAATATATACTGGTCTCATACTACCGCCTTAAGAACAAGGTCCCAGAAAATAAAAAAATGGCCTGTGTAAAAAAACCCATTCAACACGGTAACTTCTGAACAACTTAAAAGAACTGAGTTTTAAAACATTCAAACCAAATGTCAAGTTCATCTTTACTTCCTAGTAAAACTTCACATAACAATAAAGTATCTTGATGTGACTTTGATGAGAGTTATTGACATTCAGTATTTTGTCTGTATTAGGGTATTTTGGATATTATGGTGACAACTTATAACAGTAAGAATGGGTACCAGACTCACCTGATGCAGCACACGTTTGAACAAGATGCCTGTTTTATAAAAGTGATGGGTAAGTATACTGTCACTGTTTGGTAAGGGATCAGTTAGACTCAGACAAAAGTGATTGGTAAGTACACTGTCACTGTTTGGTAAGGGATCAGTTAGACTCAGACAAAATTGATGCATGCACTAAAATTTCTGTCACTTTAAAGGATTTTGGCAACGATTTTTCATAATTTCATATTTTACGGTCATTTGATACAATAATATGTGTAGTGACCAAGACCCCGTCTCTCGGTACTCAGATGATGTATAGCCCATGTGACGCCCCATCTATATCAGCCTTATGAATATGCATATTTTGATCTTGGTACGAGGTCATGTGACGTCACAGTGGCACAACTTATCAGATGTCCTGTTCTTTACGTGTACCCATTCTGACACGCCGTTTACATATTTACACATTATCTACATAACAACGCAAGTAATGACATCAACCAATACATGTTGTACAGGTCGAATCATCAGTCGAAAAATACATATGTCAATAATGTTCTTCTAAAAAAAAAAAGAGAAGTTATCAATCAAGCCAGAATTGATCATGGAAGTTTAATTCCGTGCCTACATTCAATGTGACTTCAAGCTGAGAGACAGTAATACACAGTTTACACACCTAAATATCTTACCTGTGCATTAAAAGTATGTTAATTACCTATAGTTCTTATCGTTTAATACTATAGCCAAAGGATACCTACCTGTGAATTCAAGTTCAAGTTTCAAGGTTTTAGCTTATGCTTATGCCATGGCGCAGCGTCAGGCGTCTGTCGTCCGGCGTCCAGCGTCCTTCAACTTTCTTCTTTAAAACGCTACTTGTCCTTAATGGCTCAGAGGATTTTGACCAAATTTGGTCTGGATCATCATTGGCCAAAAGGTTCTCAGTTTTGTATAAATTTAGAGTATAGTCCCTTTTGGGGCAGAGGGGGGGGCCAAATAGGGGGAAAATAGGTTAATCTTTAAAAATCTTCTCCTTCTCAACAATTAAAAGGATTTTGACCAAATTTGTTCAAGAGCATCTTTGAACAAAGGAGCCTCAAGTTTGTATAAATGGAGGGTGTGGCCTCTCTGGGGGCAGAGGGGTGGGGCCCAATAGGGGAAATAGAGGATTTTTTTCTTCCTCCAAACAAATGAAGGGATTTAAACCAAATAAAGTCTGAAGCATGCTACTTAGGGACAAAAGAATAAGTTTTGTATAAACTGAGTTGTGTGGCCCCCTTTCTTTGGGTCAGATGGGTGAGGCCCATTAGGGGAAATAGAGGAAAACGTTAAAGATCCTTCTCCTTTTGTACCGATGAAGGGATTTTGACCAAATTTGGTCTGGAGCATCATTGGCCAAAGGGTTCTCAGTTTGTAAATAGAGGGTATGGCCCCACCTGGGGGCAGAGGGGTGGGGCCAAATAGGGGGAAAATAGGTAAATCTTTAAAAATCTTCTTCTTCTCAACCAATAGAAGGATTTTGACCAAATTTGTTCTAGAGTATCTTTGGACAAAGGAGCCTCAAATTTGTATAAACAGAGGGTATGGCTCTTCTGAGGGCAGAGGGGTGGGGCCCAATAGGGGAGTAGATGAAAATAATTTTTCTCCTACTATACAAGTGAAGGGATTTAAACCAATTTGAAAGCTATCAACAAGATGTTTATGTAAGTCACATTTAGAAGATTTATCAGATGCACTACGTAATTCTTGAATAAATATATCATGCAAGCGTTGAGAATACAATTCCAAAAACTGCCTTTCATTTTGTTAAGTTTGAGCGATCCAATATGGTTAAAACCAATTCTACATAAATCATTAATTAACAGGTGAACTAATTACCCAGAGGTGTTACCTGTGAATGTCATGGCCAAAGGGCATTTACAAAATGTATAACCGATCCTCCAACTAACACAAAATTATGTGTTTTGAAAAGATTAAAGTCAATTTCAACAGCATTTAACTATATTTTACATGCATTTTTACCTGAAGCTAATAACCTGGACCGAAATGTATGTGTACCATCACGTAACTAGATGCTATCAAGTCTGTGATTAATACATACGATAGAAGTGTTTTAAATGAAATTTCTGGATTCTAAAGTTTTATTATTTTTGTAGTAATGGTGGTGGTGCTGATATGACATCTATTGAATATTTTAAAGAACCAAAACTGACATTTGTTTAGCAGTTTTTATCAAAAATATATCCTCAGGGGTAGATCCAAGATTTCGTGATATCTTTTCAAGATATACAATATGAGTTTTTTAATGAAATTTCTGGATTCTAAAGTTTTATTATTTTTGTAGTAATGATGGTGGTGCTGATATGACATTTATTGAATATTTAAAAGAACCAAAACTGACATTTGTTTAGCAGTTTTTATCAAAAATATATCCTCAGGGGTAGATCCAAGATTTCGTGATATCTTTCCAAGTTGATTTAAAACTTATTGATAAGATTATGAAGACACACACGAAAACATAACATTGAGACATTATTCATCATTCCACTTTCCACCTCACAAGTTTTTGGAATTCTGTGTCAATTAGCTTAATGTGGTAGCCTTTTGTGTAAAGCTTTTTATGTGATCTACGTTCGCGATCATAACAAAACCAAATTGAATGAAAGTATATGTGTTCCATGTCTATGTGCTCTAATACCGTATCAAACTCAGATGCAAATGTTGTTTGGTAAAACTTTCACTTTTAGATGTGTAACGTTAGACAGGGAGGAGGTATACAAGCGATTTGTCAGCAGATTTCAGAACATAACAGTAGATTACATTACAAATGTCTGACTCTAAAAAGTCACGACATCATCAAACTGGCTCTTACGTAATACCTATTTATTTTGTTATAAATCAAGTAATATAAGAATGTTTCATTATGTGTAGCCGCTATTCAATATGCGTATCTTTATTTACGTCCCTGCCATATCAGAATCGTCCTCCGATGTCAATATTTACGTCCCTGCCATATCAGAATCGTCCTCCGATGTCAATATTGACGTCCCTGCCATATCAGAATTGTCCTCCGATGTCAATATTTACATAAATAGGGATCTGTCTTCATCCTGTCTTCACCTTAAATTCGTCGAGAATTGTATAAAGTATGTCGTTCATGCCAAGTATCACACTGTCAGACGTGTCCATTGAAACAAATCAGAAATATATAGGAGGGGTGTAGCTCCTGAACCCTATAGTTACTCTTATATAGACCAGTGACCCAAACCAGTACCATGTGATCGGTTAGCTCATTAACATTTTCACCAGTAAGGAGCGGTCACTTTTGGTTGCCTATATCTAGGTAACGGGACACTTCTAAGCGCTCGTTGGTGGATGATTCGGCAGTTATTTTTACAAAATGTCAGAAATCTTGGGCAAAACCCTTTAAGGACCAAGTGAGCTTACCTTGTCCCACTACATTTATTATTTATCTGGTGTCAGTATCAGCCCAAGGAAACTTCTAATCAACAGCTGTTCTTCGGCTTTTGTTTGATTTTGTGTCATACTTCCGACTTTTTTCAGAATTATTTAGATTTGGTTCATGTTTTTGTGGTTACCTTGTCACCACAGATGTTAGAAGTACAGCAAATATGTGTACAGTTTACCTGACTCAAGTTCACTCAGCAAATATGTGTACAGTTTACCTGACTCAAGTTCACACAGCAAATATGTGTAAAATTTACCTGACTCAAGTTCACACAGCAAATATATGTACAGTTTACCTGACTCAAGTTCACACAGCAAATATGTGTACAGGTTACCTGACTCAAGTTCACACAGCAAATATGTGTACAGTTTACCTGACTCAAGTTCACACAGCAAATATATATACAGTTTACCTGACTCAAGTTCACACAGCAAATATATGTAGTTTACCTGACTCAAGTTCACACAGCAAATATGTGTAGTTTACCTGACTCAAATTCACACAGCAAATATGTGTACAGTTCACACTTTGTAACAGTGAAATTTGTATCAACACAATCTAAATGTAAAACTGAAAGAAAATACCCAAGAATGTTTCTGATACGCAAAACTTGTTTTGCATGAGGATGTCAGTGTTAGAATAGCTACAGGTAAGATTGTAAAATCTCCTGGATCCACAACTTCAGATTAGTTTGTTGTACATATGATGTTGTCAGATTGTTGCCTCTTATTTTTACAGTGGCCAGTGGAGTTTGTTCCGATAACTGTCCGGCTCACAGAAAGGTAATATCAAAGTCTAATGTGAATATTGTTGATGGTGCGATGTCTTATTCTTATTCTCTGATGGGCATTACAGGGGTATACAGACTTAATTTGTTTAAACAATAATTTAACAGTGAGTAGGTAGGGAGTTAAAATGAGTTTCCAGTAATATCAAGACTGGAGTTAAATATTCTCATCAGGCAGAGTGTGGAAATATTTACCACACAAACAGCAAAATAATTTATGAGGTAGGGAATTGGATTTATCAGAAAGAGCGTTGTCTATGTACACTCGTTCAGTGTGTTTTCTGTTTTGCAGCCGTATGGTATCAATCAGCCTGGTCCAGCGGCCAAGTTTTCTACACTGGACACTAATGGTGATGCTCAGGTCGGCACAGGTGGGTACTTCAGTCAGATCACCTTGGCAGAGGTTCTCACCAATTGTTTGTTGATTAATGACTATGCTGAACTTTTCAAGATTAAACCTGTTCGAAATCAAAACAAATGTCCAGAGATTTCTTGAAATATATCATCACGAAAATATTCCATCTAATAAAGCCAACATCATCATCGTTACACTTTAATGTCAGGCTTTAAACAACAATTACAGGGTGCAGAATTTACCTGTCAACAAAGAGTTTCCTAGATGATCCGAGTGAGGACTTACAGTAGCCCACTGTAACCATAGCAATGTATAATGTTATATTCTGTTTAGTACGGATGGCAAGTCATTATGACATGTTCTGTTTTCAATAACACCACATTAACCTGTGTTTGTTGTGTTTACAGCCACCCAGTTAACACAGTCGGCATACTTCTCCCTACAGCAGCCCTACATTGTGTTTGGCCTTGGACAGACGCCCAACTTTGTTGACAAGTTGTACATCGGCATTCCACATCCTAACGGCACAGTAAGTATTACCAGGCGTAAAAAATCCTTGACCCTAGTTTTTAAAAAGGATGAATGGAACTTTAAACCTGAATATAATTCTATGTTTGTTCAACTTGTTACAGAATATAATACAAAATAATCAGAGGGGTAATTAATGTAATCTCATACCTTGATTTCACATACATGGAATTGTTGTAATCTGATAGACAGGTGATATAATGGGTAACTCCTGTTAAATTAGCCATTAACCAATTTAATCTGGCATCATTATGTCACATCATGTCGAGGCAACATTCATCTTTTGGCCAATCATATTTAACTTCAGTCCAGGCATGTTTGTTTTTTTATTTCAGCTGGTTAAGACATAATTAAGCCTAAAGTCTATTTTGTACATAACAAATATTTACTATCGGTTTACAGGACGTCAGGACAAGAAGCTGGTCCTCTGTCATACCAAACTCTCAACTTATCATCATACCTTACCCACATGACGAACCATCAAGGTATGTACGGGGAAATGATCATCTTATATATAACAATGCTCACTGCACCTTCGGCATCAGTACCCTCTTAGTTATGATTGGTTAATCGTTACATCAGCCTCATCAGTACCCTCTTTGTTATGATTGGTTAATCGTTACATCAGCCTCATCAGTTCCTTCATTGTTATGATTGGTTAATCGTGACATCAGCCTCATCAGTACCCTCTTTGTTATGATTGGTTAATCGTTACATCAGCCTCATCAGAAGTCAATTGTTTAATGGTGCCAACAAATTACATTGTCTAATTCAATAATATAGATTAACCATTTGTAGATCTGTGACTGTCCTACAAACCAAAGGTGTGATGGGCAGTCAGTTAGTAACACTAAATGGGTAAATAAATTTGAATTACTTTTATTGCCACAGCTGGTCAAACAAGCTTTTTGTGACCCCCAGCAAACTTGTGCTGTTGACTGGTGCTGCCCTCTTGGGGACATGTGGTTTCCTAGCGATGATGGTGGGAATTCTACACTGGCGAGAGAAGGTACCGTCCCTTTACATATACAGTCACCATAAACCACAATACAAACAATCAATGGTAGAGTAGATAACCTAAAGTAGCCTTCATCTTATTTAGTGAGAACAGAAAAGGTACACAGCTGCACAAAGTTTCATCCCCTTTCTTTGAGCCAGAAGATAAAGCCATGACCTTTGACCTTTATGTCAGCAAATATTTATAGGGTACATGATGCTATTTCATGATATATTGAATGAGATTTGATTGGAATGAAAAAAAAAGAATTGAATCAATGTTAGATATCTTATTGTGACCTTGACCTTTGATGTTGACTTCAAGGTCCTAGTTTGGTTAATTATTAATCATTTATATTTTGCCATCAGATGCAAAATGTAATGAAGAGGCTTTAACTTTTGAAACTTTAATTTTGTTAATGATCGTCTTATACAAATATTTACATCGCATGAGATATCAGATCAGTACCAGAAATCGTATCTTATGTTACTTAGCTAAGGGTAGTCAGAGTTCCATGATCTACCGATGCAGTTTTACACGTGCAGAAATTCCACCATAACTTAATAAGGAACAAGCAAATGGATGTTCATTTGTCCTGAAAACGCTCCATGTAACTCGTACTAAAAATGGTTTAGTAATAATAGATGTTCATTTGTCCTGAAAACGCTCCATGTTACTCATACTAAAAATGGTTTATTAACAATAGTTTTTCATTTGTCCTGAAAACGCTCCATGTAACTCGCACTAAAAATGGTTTATTAACAATAGTTGTTCATTTGTCATGAAAACGCTCCATGTAACTCGTACTAAAAATGGTTTAGTAATAATAGATGTTCATTTGTCCTGAAAACGCTCCATGTAACTCGTACTAAAAATGGTTTATTAACAAATAGATGTTCATTTGTCCTGAAAACGCTCCATGTTACTCATACTAAAAATGGTTTATTAACAATAGTTGTTCATTTGTCCTGAAAACGCTTCATGTAACTCGTACTAAAAATGGTTTATTAACAAATGGTTGTTCATTTGTCCTGAAAACGCTCCATGTTACTCGTACTAAAAATGGTTTATTAACAAATAGATGTTCATTTGTCCTGAAAACGCTCCATGTAACTTGTACTAAAAATGGTTTATTAACAATAGATGTTTGATGTAATTTTGAGCTTGATTTGATATTCCAGGTCGAAGACAAAAAAGAGAAATTACAAGATGCCCACAAGTTTCACTTTGACGCTATGTAAGCATGTCAACACAATGGAAATCATCCTCCTGATCACCATCCTGATGGTTGATCACCATCCTGATCACCATCCTGCCAGTTTTACTGTGTTTTCAGTGGAACACCTTTTATTTGGAGTCTGAGCCAGCAAAGAGCATTTGTAGACTTACATGTCTTACATCTCATTATGTTTCATCTAATAAGACTATTTTACGTTACACATTTTTTTTTGATGAAGATCTAGATTTGGAATGCAAATATCCAGGTTAATGAGTGCAATAGCTGGCATAGAAACTGTTCCAAAGAATGAGTGTCTTAATTGTGAATTTTCCAAATTAACAGAACTCATATTAATGTGTTACTACCACATGCCTAAATTGTTTTTCCTACATTTGTAACAAAAAAAATTAAGGGCAATTATGGACTAACTTGTACAGGAGGGCAGAAGTAACGTATATATAAAAATGTGTGGGTGGTATGATAGTCTTTTGTAAGAATTTCTTTCATAATGTACAGGAGGAGTAAACTGGTATAGGAACATATGAATCCTATTTATAATCTTATTTACATCCCGACATTGGATGGGTGATATGGGTATGTCACCTGTTATGTTATTTACTTTTGAACAAGACAAACTCATTTCCAGTGATGTTTATTATATGCAGAGCTTCCTCCTTGATAGCTGTTTGTTTTCTTCTTTATTACATAATAACAAGCGATGAAGACATTCCTCTTTCTCTGTGATAGGTCTATGTGAAGTGAGTGAGTTGTGTGTGTATTAACAATGATTTGTGATGCAGGTTTAGATGTTTATTAGTCAAAAAGCCAAAATTATGTGTAAAGCACTTTGTTCTATGACACAAGTTTAGGTGCAAGGTAGACAAATTGATTGAGTTGTGTGCGAATTACAATACATTGTATTCAATGGACGCAAGTTTAGACTTATGGTAGTCATATTGTCCCAATCTTGCGTGAGGTTTGACATGTGGTATAATATAGTTTATGTCTGTGTTTAAAAACATGTTACCTTTCACCTTTATTTTTGTTCTTGTTCTTCTTGTGACAAGCCACGTTTTCTGCTGAGATTAATGTTGAAATGTGCCAGACACTTTCTGACAAGTCAGAGCACAGCCCTTGATCACAAAACTTCATTACTTAAAGAAATCTTTCAATCTTCTTAAGGGCGATTACTTCCTAAATATTAATTGTTTAAGTAACAGGATACACTGAATGAATTGAAGATAATCAAAATGTGTAACAGTAAAATATATAAATTAAGAACATGATTCTTGGAGTTCAGTTTTCGTGATACCAGGCATACTGGTTGAAATGATCGTCATAATCATTTTAACAGTTTTAATTATTTTGTGACATGTACAATAACACATCTCGTCTAAGTATCTCTGGATAAATATTTACATGAGACATGGATCTGATTTATTGTTCCCACAAACTGAGGTGAAAATATACGTGCTTTATTCTGTATAACAGGTATTTTTCATAAACACCTTATTTTGTGTTTGCTTGCTTGATGATGAATTTGCAAAAATGGAACCAAAACTTTTCATCAAACAAAAAATACTGCACATGATAGCATGGCGATAAAAATGGAAAAACTTAAAAGTTAAAATTTGAATTTGAACAAAGTTTGCATCAGTTCCATCATGTGCTGTATAACAAATAATTTTCCAAGAAATGATCATATGAAAACCTGTATACCAATATTGCCTGTAGAGAGGGGTGGTTGTATCACTGCCCTGAGTGCCCTCTGTTTGTTAATCCTGCCGTCTGTCGTCTGTCGTTTTAGTTTACATGTATATATATTTATTACATACAACATACGTTTTTGTTGAAGTCTTTACAAGATGCTTTATTTGTATGTCAGTGGTTACATGAGCATGCACAATATGCTAATATTTATATGTGTACAAGGTCGGTTGCTTTGTGACTTTGAAATTAATCTTGTTTATCAATTACTTTTTAATGACAATAATAAATATTTATTTGACCAAAAATGGGACTTGATTCTTAAATTGTATAAAAAGTTCTTTGATAATATTTTCTCCACATAATTTGATCAATCTCCGTTACTGTTTTCTTCAAAGTCTGAAACAAAAAATAACCAAAGTCATTACAGTTGCCTTTCACCACAGCAAATGTATTAGTCCTGATATGAGCATACATTATCTTTCAGGTGTTATATAAAATTGAATAATGTTAAATTCCACAATCCTTTGACCGAGAATCATCAGCACTTCGCTTGATACATTTGTAGTTAGGAGCACACATAATACAAATCTATATTTAGCACAAGGGTAAAGCATGGTACAGACAATAGTTCTGGCTCTTGTTACAAAAGGGTAAAGCATGGTACAGACAATAGTTCTGGCTCTTGTTATACAAGGGTAAAGCATGGTACAGACAATAGTTCTGGCTCTTGTTATACAAGGGTAAAGCATGGTACAGACAATAGTTCTGGCTCTTGTTACACAAGGGTAAAGCATGGTACAGACAATAGTTCTGGCTCTTGTTACACAAGGGTAAAGCATGGTACAGACAATAGTTCTGGCTCTTGTTATACAAGGGTAAAGCATGGTACAGACAATAGTTCTGGCTCTTGTTACACAAGGGTAAAGCATGGTACAGACAATAGTTCTGGCTCTTGTTACACAAGGGTAAAGCATGGTACAGACAATAGTTCTGGCTCTTGTTATACAAGGGTAAAGCATGGTACAGACAATAGTTCTGGCTCTTGTTATACAAGGGTAAAGCATGGTACAGACAATAGTTCTGGCTCTTGTTACACAAGGGTAAAGCATGGTACAGACAATAGTTCTGGCTCTTGTTACACAAGGGTAAAGCATGGTACAGACAATAGTTCTGGCTCTTGTTATACAAGGGTAAAGCATGGTACAGACAATAGTTCTGGCTCTTGTTACACAAGGGTAAAGCATGGTACAGACAATAGTTCTGGCTCTTGTTACACAAGGGTAAAGCATGGTACAGACAATAGTTCTGGCTCTTGTTATACAAGGGTAAAGCATGGTACAGACAATAGTTCTGGCTCTTGTTATACAAGGGTAAAGCATGGTACAGACAATAGTTCTGGCTCTTGTTACACAAGGGTAAAGCATGGTACAGACAATAGTTCTGGCTCTTGTTACACAAGGGTAAAGCATGGTACAGACAATAGTTCTGGCTCTTGTTATACAAGGGTAAAGCATGGTACAGACAATAGTTCTGGCTCTTGTTACACAAGGGTAAAGCATGGTACAGACAATAGTTCTGGCTCTTGTTACACAAGGGTAAAGCATGGTACAGACAATAGTTCTGGCTCTTGTTATACAAGGGTAAAGCATGGTACAGACAATAGTTCTGGCTCTTGTTACACAAAAGTGTGTCATGTTGGCTCAAGGAAGCTACATATCAAAGTTTGATTAAATCTTCTATTAGATAACTGGACTGGCCCTGGAGTTCTGACCGGCTCGACCCCTTGGGTCTATTCCCTGAGACATAACATGAAAATGGTTGAGGTTGAAATTCCTATTCTTTAAGAATTAAGGCAATTGCTAGGCATAAAAATTAGTTTATTCATGCTATCAGTATTGGCCAAGGTCCAGCCCCACCCCTATGTACTAAGTCCCAGGGGCCCTGTAACTGTTTACAGAAACATATTGATCAATTCACAGTAAAATCTGTTTTTGAAACACATGCTTGGCCTTTGAGCCCTTGGAATCCTCTGCTTTATAAAGAAGAGTATACCCCTAGTGGTTAGTGGCATGTCGTAAAGGAAGGAAAGTGCCGGTTAAATCTTAAAAGCCTAAGCGTCTAGACCAGTTGATTGAGTTTCAACCAAATTTGCTATGAAGCATCCTTGAGACCAGGAAATCAAATACAGGATGACGGAAGGGTGTTGTCTCTAGTGGAAGTTGGAGCACTGAGAACTGAAGTGAGAACCATAAGAGTGTAATGTTATTATTAACAACATTTTGTCATGATTGCTTAAATATCCAGATGGACGCCATCGCATTAAACTAGAGTGCTTGGTACAAGGTGAGATCGAAAACAACGAAATAAAGCAAGCTTATTTACCTGGATATAAAGCATCCAGGAGGAGCTCCAGTTCTCTGCGCCTGTCGGAGATAACTACAAGTAAAAGATCAGATTGGTATCCACAGTTCCAGCTTCATGCTACAGTTTATACTAAAAAATGGTTTCCGTGTTAAAGAAATTCAAAAGAGATCGAGTTTATCACACAGTGTTTTGATAGCGGCGTGACTACTTACCACACAGTTTCCTGGAGGAGTCACATGTGGTGTGCGACGGACATCCTGAACAGCGAGTTCCTCTTACGTAGGGCTTGGTACTCCCTACGTTACCCCTAGGGAGGACACCATCATATGAAGTCACTTGTTATAATAACATAGAATATGCAATTTTATCGTCACGAAAATGGGTTTTAAATGTGTAATAACAGATTTTAATCTCTCTAATTACGTGCTTGAATATACAGCCTTAGATCTTTATTTTTTGTTCATGGACTGTTAAATATCCAATGATTTACCCTGGTCCGTACTGACAGACAACAAGCCAGACAAAGGACTGTTAAATATCCAATGATTTACCCTGGTCCGTACTGACAGACAACAAGCCAGACCAAGGACTGTTAAATATCCAATGATTTACCCTGGTCCGTACTGACAGACAACAAGCCAGACCAAGGACTGTTAAATATCCAATGATTTACCCTGGTCCGTACTGACAGACAACAAGCCAGACCAAGGACTGTTAAATATCCAATGATTTACCCTGGTCCGTACTGACAGACAACAAGCCAGACCAAGGACTGTTAAATATCCAATGATTTACCCTGGTCCGTACTGACAGACAACAAGCCAGACCAAGGACTGTTAAATATCCAATGATTTACCCTGGTCCGTACTGACAGACAACAAGCCAGACCAAGGACTGTTAAATATCCAATGATTTACCCTGGTCCGTACTGACAGACAACAAGCCAGACCAAGGACTGTTAAATATCCAATGATTTACCCTGGTCCGTACTGACAGACAACAAGCCAGACCAAGGACTGTTAAATATCCAATGATTTACCCTGGTCCGTACTGACAGACAACAAGCCAGACCAAGGACTGTTAAATATCCAATGATTTACCCTGGTCCGTACTGACAGACAACAAGCCAGACCAAGGACTGTTAAATATCCAATGATTTACCCTGGTCCGTACTGACAGACAACAAGCCAGACCAAGGACTGTTAAATATCCAATGATTTACCCTGGTCCGTACTGACAGACAACAAGCCAGGCCAAGGACTTCATTACCACTTTTTTTCCGTCCTCGATTTTACGGAGGGGTTGACATCTCTCCATAGAACAGCCCAGCTTGTCAGATTTAGACCACACAACCTAAAACAAAGACGAACAGTTTCGGTTTTCTTTTTTTGTTCATCCACACGATAAATTAGAAAATGATAAAGCACTTTTCACGGAAATACATACCTTCTTGTACGTAGTGAGTTTAATTTCACCCGGAAGTACACTTGTTTAAAATGAATTATCTTTTCCCCGGATGTACACACACGAAGGCTAACCTGTTAGTAGTGACTGTTCTCTTTCCCGGATATGCCACGATTTTCTCCCGAAAGCACACACACTAACATGCTTGTAGTGACACTTTCCCGTATAAACATGATTTCCTGTTGGTAGCGACCGCATTCCTTCCCGGAATCACATATGCTTACCTTTTTGCATTGACCAACTCTCTTTTCTCGGATGTAGAAGCAGTGACTGCGCTACATCCCGTAAATACACTCTGTCCCGGATGTAGAAGCAGTGACTGCGCTACATCCCGTAAATACACTCTGTCCCGGATGTAGAAGCAGTGACTGCGCTACATCCCGTAAATATACTATATCCCGGTAGAATACGCCTACCTGTTTAAAGTTGATGCACTCTTTCCGGAAGTAAACGCTTATCTGTTGAATTGAATGCACTGTTTCCCGGAAGTAAACGCTAACCTATTTGTGGTGTTCAACTTTGTTTCCCGGAAATTCACATAACACTTGTTTGAAGTGAACAAACTCTTTCCCGATACCGATATTCGGGAAAGACCAACACTCTTTCCGGTTGTTAACCGGTTTGGAGTCACCGACACTTTTTCCGGGAAGTTTCCACCCGTTTGAAGTGAATAATTCTTTCCGGAACTATACACTGACCTGTTTGACGCAATCGATATTCTTTTCCGGAAGTGATCGGTTACCAGTTTGAAATAAATACTCTGTTTTCCGTAATTTCACACTGACCTGTTTGTAACGACCACACACTTTCCCAGAAGTGCACATTTACCTGAATGTATCGATCGCAAACTTTCCCGGAAGTACATACTTATCTGTTTGTAGTGACCTCACACTTTCTCGGAAGGACAAACTGACCTGTTTGAAGTGACTGCATACTTCCCGGAAGTGCACACTTATATTATTGTAGTGACCTCACACTTTCCCGGAAGTACATACTTACCTGTTTGTGGTGACCGCACACTTTCCCGGAAGTACATACTAACCTGTTTGTGATGACCGCACACTTTCCCGGAAGTACATACTAACCTGTTTGTAGTGACCGCACACTTTCCCGGAAGTACATACTTACCTTTTTGGGGTGACCGCACACTTTCCCGGAGGTACATACTAACCTGTTTGTGGTGACCGCACACTTTCCCGGAAGTACATACTTACCTGTTTGTAGTGACCTCACACTTTCGTGGAAGTACCAACTGACCTGTTTGTAATGTTCTCACACTTTCCCGGAAGTACACCCTGACCTGTTTGTAGTGACTGCATACTTCCCGGAAGTGCACACTTACATGTTTGTAGTGACCTCACACTTTCCCGGAAGTACCAACTGACCTGTTTGTAATGTTCTCACGCTTTCCCGGAAGTACACCCTGACCTGTTTGTAGTGACCTCACACTTTCCCGGAAGTACACCCTGACCTGTTTGTAGTGACTGCATACTTCCCGGAAGTGCACACTTACATGTTTGTAGTGACCTCACACTTTCCCGGAAGTACCAACTGACCTGTTTGTAATGTTCTCACACTTTCCCGGAAGTACACCCTGACCTGTTTGAAGTGACCTCACACTTTCCCGGAGGTACCCACTGACCTGTGTGTAGTGACCGCACTCTTTCCCGGAAGTACACGATCCAGTTATGATGTTGTAGTCATTCTTCTCGACGTACCAGCTGTTAACGATCTTTGTGATATTCAATGTTTTTGCTAAAAATAAAATGGCTTATTAGCTAAGAGTTGACAGAATCTTTATAACGTTATTACTTTTATGATCTGAAAGGCCTTCGTTGGAAATAAGCCTTCTGGCTTATATGAGCTATCCTTGCCGATCCTGCATAACTGCAACCTATTACGTAAAAGTGTTTTCACTTTAACATTATATACTATGTTATTTGTTTTACTGTCATGACTTTAGTTGGCAACATATTGTCTAAATAAAACGATTCGGACTAAAAGGAAATACATGTAATAAATCTGCAGGCAGACCTCACTCAGCTATTCACTAAAGATCGCCCTGAGTTCACCATTTCTGTTGTGCGCCTCGAAGTCTGGAGTCGAACACATACCGCCAGCACTGTATTCACTAACCCATACCGCCAGCACTGTATTCCCTAAACCCATACCGCCAGCACTGTATTCGCTAACCCATACCGCCAGCACTTTATTCACTAAACCCATACCGCCAGCACTGTATTCGCTAACCCATACCGCCAGCACGGTATTCACTAAACCCATACCGCCAGCACCGTATTCACTAAACCCATACCGCAAGTACCGTATTCACTAAATCAATACCGCCAGCACTGTATTCACTAAACCCATCCCGCCAGCACTGTATTCACTAATCCATACCGCCAGCACTGTATTCACTAAACCCATACTGCCAGCAGTGTATTCACTAAACCAATACCGCCAGCACTGTATTCACTAAACCCATACTGCCAGCACTGTATTCACTAAACCAATACCGCCAGCACTGTAATCACTAAACCCGTACCGCCAGCACCGTATTCACTAAACCCATACCGCAAGTACCGTATTCACTAAATCAATACCGCCAGCACTGTATTCACTAAACCCAATGCACCAGCACTCAATTCACTAAACCCATCGCACCAGCACTGTATTCATAATTCCATACCGTTCATCAAATGGTAGAAAGACCGTGGATCACTTACCTGTGGTCATAAATAGGTTTTCCCCGACATAAGCGGCCGTGGACTGACCCTTCCATGGAACGGTCCGGTCGGAGTAGGAGCTGTGTTTCCATAAACACTCGTCTGCCCAGTCAGCTGCGTTGTTCTTCAGGGATCTACTCCAAGTCTGAAGCAACAAAGGCGAAGTATAGACTAGAAATCTACTCCAGATATACAAGTGAACGAATGCGAAGTATAGACTAGAGATCTACTCCAGATATACAAGTGAACGAAGGCGAAGTATAGACTAGAGATCTACTCCATATATAGAAGTGAACGAAGGCGAAGTATAGACTAGAGATCTACTCCAGATATACAAGTGAACGAAGGCGAAATATAGACTAGAGATCTACTCCATATACAGAAGTGAACGAAGGCGAAGTATAGATTAGAGATCTACTCCAGATATACAAGTGAACGAAGGTGAAGTATGGACTAGAGATCTACTCCAGATATACAAGTGAACGAAGGTGAAGTATAGACTAGAGATCTACTCCAGATATACAAGTGAACGAAG